CTATGAAAACTAGTATGGTGATTCCTCAAAGAACTAAAAGTTGACCTACCATTCATCTAGCAATCCCTCTATTGGGTGTCTACCCAAAGGGAAAGAAGACTTTTCACCAGAAAGATACTGTACTTGTGGGAGCCAAACTAATTAACTCAAGTCACAAGTCAAACTACCTCCTTTTGTTGTTTATTCAGAACAACAGGCCACTGCATACCAAGGACCTTATCGTACCTAGGTGTTACAGCCCACATCCTGACCCCCTCCCCTTTGTCCCACTAGCTCCCTTGTGCACTCAGCCCACATCCTGACCACCTCCCCTTTTTGCACTCGCAACTCTACTCTGCACTTGCCCCACTTGCGACCTTTAACCCTTCCTTCTCATTCACTCACCTGAGACAAAGAAGACTCGTCCCTGAGCCAATCAACCCTGAACATGACCACCCTCTACCTGTCAGTTTAGGACAGACATGGTTTACCTACCAATAAGGGGATGGGGTAGGATGGTCTAATGGGAGGGAAGAGGGAGAGGTATAAAGAGACTTTCTAGATAGTCTGTAAGGGCTGTTCCCGCTTTTTCTTAAAGGGCAGCCCAGGCTCTGAGCTTGAATGAATAAAATTCCTCATGCCTTTGTAGCGATGTTCGGCCTCAGAGTGGTGCTTGAATTGAGCCTAGGGGTTAACATACTCAAATATTCACTGCAGCACAACTGCAAAGATGTTGAATCAACCCAAGTGCCTATCAATTCATGAGTGGATTAACTTAATGTGATGTATGTATGGTACAGAGTACTACTCAGCCATAAAAAGATGAATTAATACTTTTTGCAACAATCTGGATGGAACTGGAGACAATTCTCCTAGGTGAGGTATCTCAAGAATAGAAAAACAAATACCATATGTACTCACTGTTAAATTGGAACTAACTGATGAGCACACATGTGCAAGGAAGAAAGTAAAACCCAGTGGAAATCAACCAGTGGGTGGGCAGAGGAGGGGAGGGTAAGAAACCTACGTAACGGGTACAATGAACACACTCATAGTGGGCATGCATATAGCAGAGACTCAGGCAACAAAAGCAATCCATGTAACCTAAAGCATTTGTACTCCCTTAATATTTTGAAATAAAATAACCAAGTTATGTTTCAACTATTTAAAATAAAATGATGCATACAAAGAGACACTAGAAAAAGAAGAGGGAAGGACAGACGTACAGTAGATGAGCTAATTGCTGAAAATGAGCCTGAAATTTATCTTTGCATTTTCTAACGGCCAAAGCAGAAACAAAATTGTGCCTCTTGCCGGTAATCCTAGCACCCTGGGAGGCTGAAGCAGGTGGATTATCTGAGCTCAGAAGTTTGAGACCAGCCTGAGCAAGAGCAAGACCTCATCTCTACCAAAAATAGAAAAACTAGCCGGGCATTATGGTGGTTGCCTGTAGTCCCAGCTGCTGGCAGGAGGGTTGCTTAAGACCAGGATTTTAAGGTTGCTTTGAGTTATGAGGCCATGGCACAATACCTAGGTTGACGGAGTGAGACTCTAATCTAAAAAAATGTACGCAATTCATTGATAAATGGAATATGCACTCAAACAGAAAGGCAGTCAGATCAAAGGGTAGCTGCCTACAAGGGCACACACCTGTCCTTCAGAGAGATGTTATCACTTCATCAGTATTCAATGGTAAGGGGTTGGCAGATGAGCACTTAGGGACTTTCTTAACATATGCTAAAGAACAAAGAGTTAAACTGCTCCACTCTATTCCAAAATGTGCAAAGGCCTTTCAGGTTGAGTGTCTGTGAAGCAGCTTAGCTTGTGGCTTAGAGTGCAAGCTGATCTTAGCCTTTTCAAGCAGCCCATACAGCCTGGCTCCCTGCTCTGAGCTCAGTGACCAGAGAGTTCTATGTCCAAGAAGAGTGGCTCCATCCTTGTGGAATCTGCTCCCAACACTTGCAAATCATCAGAGACAATAGATTTCCCTGGGAAAACCATAATTACACAACAAAGGGGAGGGCCACATGCCAGCAGGATTATTGGCTTGGATTAACAATAAGGTATTTGTTTTTGCAAATAATTAAGAGTTCAGTAGCAGGCTATAAAGAATCCTCTAAGAAATTCTAAACAGACTGTAGCTACAGGGTATGACTGAATCTAACCATTTATCTTTACAGACCTCGTGCGCTAAGAAGCTAGTGTTTAATCAAGCACAATGCAACAGGTCTTCAGGGGGAAAATGGCCCTCTGTGCTCTTAACATTCCCCAGAGAAAAGACCTCTGCGCAGCTAGTGTGTGTCCACATGTGTGTGCAAATGACACTCCAGCATGTGCAGGCTGCTGGATGCTGCTGTGGGGTACTGCGGCTCATATAACAATAGCTCAAACCATTTTCTTTAGACGATTCAAATGTCCATAACAACCTGTAAGTTGGTAAATAAATATCAGGACAGCTCTGCATTCTTACAACAATTAGGCAGTTGCTTCCCAAGTGCTCGGCTGGGCTGGTTAGGCCCTTGGAAGATGGGAAGACATTTGCCAAATCTGTTTTGATTTATGCTCCCCACACCCCCCACCCTACCCCTACAGTAAATCCTTCTTCAGTATGTTTTTAACAACTCAGAGGCGTTAAGACAAATTTGATTGCACCTAATTTTAAAAACGGTATGGGCAAAGTGCTGTCACCAATATTTCAAAAATAGTGTCAAAATGAAATAACCATGCATTTAGAGACAGTTGCTCATTCGGCTTCACCAGGCCCTGGGTCAATAACACGAGATTTCGTCCTTAATCCCAGGAAATAAACATGACATTATTTCTATTCTCTGTACCCACATCATGATCTCTCATAGGTACACAAAAGCCAAAGACCAAATGCCTCTACAAGAGTGGAAACACATTAAAACAGGACTAGATAAACAAAACAGAACAAAAAATAAAGCAACAAATATGGAAAATACTAAAGGAAAACAACTGATTTTCTATTTCTTCTACATTGCTGTTACTCTCGCAAAAGCTCATGATAACAGTTAAGGCCCAAGGCATCTCACTGTGCAGGACTTGGTCACCAGGAAACCTTTACAATAATTTTTCCCTCAAGAATGAGATTTCCATTTAATTATGTACTATTCAATCCAATATAAATTTTCCCACTGTTATGCATGCTCTGGCCTCACCAATTTAACTTTTTAAAAGTTTTTTAGTAGTTGTATCACAATTTTCCTTCAGAGAAACACACACCTACTCCAGGATAAACCCTCAACCCACAGTTTCAGAGTTAGCTGCCTTCTGCCACCTGCAGGTGATGGTAACCTTGGGCCAAGCACTCAACCCCTCTGACACTCTATTTCCTCATCTGAAATAATAAAAAAAAAAAAATGGAGGTTACCACAGATTCTCCCTGAGACACCTCTGGGCTCTAGGTTCTATGGTTATTTCATATAAAAAGGAGAATTTCCACGTGAAAAAAAGGTGAAGCAGTTATTCATTGTTTAAAACTAAGACACTGAGTTCTACATTCAAAAACTTGGACTTTATTTAGAACCAGCTGAAAGGAAAATAGAAAGTCAATGTAAAAAGATAAGTCCCATTATTGGAAAGATGTACTTAGAGTGAATCAGAGATCATGCTGATCCAGGACAGGAAGTACAACTAAGTAAGACACTTGGAGAAAAACCTCTTCCCTTTACTGTACTGGCTTAAAGAATAGATGTGAACATCAAATTAACATTTCAACTCTCCAAGCCAGTCTGTTAAGTAATTTCACCAGTTCCCTGCAATGCCAGCTTAGTGGCCTGGGTCCTTTATTGTGTTGTCAACAAAGACATAGAACAGCATTGTTTGAGAACTCACAGGATTCAAAAGAAAAATGTGTATTCAGAATGGAATTCAAAGAAGCAGAATGACACAAAGTCTGATACTTACTTGTGGCCCAGCTCATGAGCGATGGTAAAGGCCAAATTGAGACCATTGTCTTCTGCGAGCACACACTTCCTCTTAGCACTGCACACACCTCCTAAGTAAGCAATTCCTGCAGCAGAGACAGAAAACATACTCTTAAGAACGTGGGATGCCCTGACCTCACCAGGCAAGTCCGAGTGCTTAGAGTGATGTACAGTCAAGAAAAGGGCAAACTGGGACAGTGCTGACCACAGGATGGAGCTGGAAGTACAGGGCTCACCCGGATGGGTTTGTGTTTGATGCTTTTGTACTTACCTAATAATAACAGGAACAGCCACAAATGTCTAACAGGCATTTAACATGTGCCAGAGGTATGCTGAATAGTTCACATATATCACACAATCTAATCCTAAATACCCAGGAAAAAGGAAACTGAGGTTCAGAGAAGAAAGGTAACTTTCCCAAGGTCACTTGGATTGGTGCTCAGTGCTGGACTCCTACACCAGACCTATCCAACTTCAGGACCCATGGCTGGGACCAGGTGCGGCAAACCAGGCAAAGTGCCCAGTGCACCAAGTTTAAAGAGGCTCTCTCTCTCAGGAGCCAGCCCTGCCTTGCACATCCCTGAGAGACAGCACTTCCTTACATTTTGCGCATGGCCGTCTTTTGCCTCACCCTCTCAGGGCACGAGCTTGGATCTGTGCTAGAGCTTACAGAGAACAGGTGTGCAGAATATTCATAAAAATATAGGAGTCCTTGAAAGAGAGAACAGGGTTGGGACCAAGAAGGCCAAAGCTAGGAAAATCAGGGCCCTGAGGTCATCGGAGAAGATGAACCAGAGGGCTGCCTGCCTCATTTCCCCACATAGCTGATTGTACCTAAGGACCTCATCTACAGCAGGAAAACCGAACTGGCACACACCACGAGGAACATGGCACAAGGCAATGGTGTGAGCAAAAGCCTATGTAGCAGAGGGCAGGATGCACTGTTGGAGGAGGGATGGGGAGTTATCCAGGGGAGGGAGGCTGGTTTGGCAGAAGGATGTGTGTCAATGACTCAGGATCTCTGGATGATGAACCATCTGAGGAGTGCTGGTCAGTCAGCTGCAACAAAGGTGCAGAGGGAAGCCCTGCTGTCTCTCCACACGGCTCTCCACATCTCTGCTATCCCTGCACACAGAACAGATGTCCCTCACCACCCAGGCCTCTCAGAGTTTTTCTCAATAGCAGCCATTAGGAAACCTGGCATCTGACTCCTCTGAAGGAGGTGCATTGTACAAGTAGATGGGGATGCAGAGTGCCTGGAGGAAAAGGCTCGGTGCTCCCCACACTGTGAGGTCACACGGGGGGTGGATGCCGCAGTGGTTGGCCACAGGGTGCATGGAGGCTAAACCCAGATGGACTCTGCCTACCAGCATTGTGCCCTGGGATGGGCTGAGGCCACCCAAGGAAGGGGCACCTGTCCTCCAACCCAGGCAATGTCCAGCCACCAAACCACTCACTGTCCCAAGGGTTCCCTGCACTAACTTGCATAAGATGTCTCAGAAGGGAAGGAATTGGCAAAGGGTAGGAGACAAGGGAACAGGGGAAACTACATCATTATAAAGGACGCCTCCTTCCTGCTCCCAAAGAGCTAAACCAACACCCTCTCTGCTGACATCAAAATCAAACTGGTGCAGAGCTCAGCTACACACAGGGCACTTCCTCCCTCCTGGTCCTCTCCCAGAGGCATGGAGGAAGCTTGCAGGGCCTCGAACTGCAAAAAGATGCAGCTCTGGGGCTCACGACCCACACACTAGGTCTGGGTACTGCACCACAAGGCTATTTTTATTTGGAAACATGTAAAATGTTCAGTCAATGTTAAAAAGCTTTTTAAAAAAAATTTGGATTTCTCTGATGATTAGGGACAATGAGCATTTTTTCATGCATTTGTTGGCTATTCGCCTGTCATCTTCAGAGAAGGTTCTGCTCAAGTATCTTACAAGATTAGCTCACATCACAAAATCCTGAATCTGCATATGATGGTGTGGAGGTGGAGAGAAAGGCACACTTTTGTAAACTAATACAACCTTTATGGAAAGAAGTATGGTGAATTCTCAAAGAACTAAAAGTTGACCTTCCATTTGATCCCACAATCCCATTATTAGGTATCTTCCAAGAAGAATAAAAATCATTTTATCACAAAGACATCTGCACTAGAATATTAATTACAGCTCAGTTCACAATTGCCAAATTGTGGAAGCAACCCAAGTGTCCATCATCCCATGAATGGATTAATAAACTGTGGTTTATGTATACCATAGAATACCATTCACCCATAGAAAAGACGGGGACCTTACATCTTTTTTGTTCACCTAGATGGAGTTGAAACATATTCTTCTTAGTACAGTATCTCAAGAATAGAAAAACAAGTATATGAATATACTCAATACCAATGTGAAACCAATATATAAACAACTACAAGCCCATACAAAAGAAAAACATAGGTATAGGCTAGCCAGGGACAGGGGAGAGGAGAGGGAGGAGAGTGGAGGAGGGTGATTGGCGGGATCTCACCTAATGTGCACAACAAGGGTGTTCAGCATGCCCTGGGGTGAAGGGCTTAACTACAACTTGAACTTGACCTAAGAATTGAAAGCAATATAACCTAAACATTTTTACCCTCGCAGCAGTCTGAAATTTAAAAAATTTATTTTAAAATAAAAAGAAATGAATCCAATGTTATTTGGCCTCAAGATGCTTGCTTTGCACTCAGATATAATTCAGTAATGCAGACTATTAGAAGGATAATGACAAACCAGAAAGAATGTGATCTGGCTTCTCAGTGCCTTCAAGGTCATCATTCTGGTTTGATTTGAAACTGCTTTGCAGGTTGTTGCTGAAAAGTCCTCCAGTGAGTAGGTGGAATGCAGCCACATACCCCTGACGGCATGCACACCCATCATACATGCATGCATGCGTGCACACGTGCACACTCACACATGCTCAGACACATACCCATTGGGGCCTGCCCAGCCCTGGCCACAGTCTCTCTGGGTCAATGAGTCAATTAGAAACAATCAGCTGTGCATGCCCCAGAGAAGTTGCTTGGTGAAGGGGGAAAGGAGACATAATCGGGCCAGATGTGCTGAGCTTGCGGTCCCAAGTGCGCCAGCCAGCCATGGGCTCTACTGCTGAACCAGCAGACCTTAAATGCTAAATAAACGCTTCCCCTGGCCTTAGCTGCACTGTGCACCCGAGACAGGCAGCCCTGACTTTCCATTCTAATTAGGTAGCTATGCAATGGTAGGGAAACAGCAATGCAAAGGCTTTTCCAATAATTGCATTTTAATTTTTCCAAGGTGCAGGTAATTTTTTTTCTTAAACTAGAAAACAAAGAATCAGTTTATTTACAAGAAATACTCTCTCACAAAGGTGGATTGAGGAGGTCTGATGGTTCTAAAGCTTTTAACAACTGATTCCAATCATGACCAGCCTGCTCATAAAACCAAGCAAGGAAAAACACATAAAAGAAAATAGCTCCTGATAACAGAGCACGAAGAGCTGTGTGAGTTTATGAGGGATGGTGTGGAAATATTTAGAATGCACAAAACTAAGTCTGGAGAAAATCCCAGGTTGTTATTATAAAAGTAAGAGCTGTGGGGGGTGGGTGGGAGAATAAATAGTTATTAAGCAATCTGGCTTTGGCAGAAAACAAAACCCACCACTATTCTATGTTTCTAGAAAGAAACTTCAGTCTAGGGAAGAAGGAGCCCTGGAGACCCAGAGATGCCACTGACACTTCAGGCTACAGATTAGCTCAGCACCAACCTAGAAAAACCCACCAAACCCCCATGTCCGGGCTTGTCAAGAATGAGGAAAAACCAGTTTCTCTATATTGATTTATTTAACAAATGAAGTCTATAGCACAGTTCTGCTAACTTTGGAGCTGACACTGTGGAACCAGCCCTACTCCATACAACTGGAATTCCCTTACACAGAAGTGAGGGTTTCTTAGATCCTAAAGTGACGTTTTCAATGGTTTCAGCCTTCCAGGATTTAAAATTCTCCACAAATCATAGAACTTACTTGAAGATTTTTAAACAAAGAAACCATCAGTTCCACATGTTTGCATAGCTCCTTGGCACAAAAAGGAAGCAGAAAGGCAACTGGCGTGTGCTAGCAGTGCCTCTCCATGGGCACATCTGCTCTGAATGCTCACCCTTCCCTCACCTAGCAGGGATTCCTGGCCTCATTTCACAGATGGAAAACAGAGGCTCAGTAGACAGTTTCAGGGTTAATCAGCACCCAAACTAGGATACAAAAGCAGGGCTCCCTGCTTCCTGTCCCATGTTCTTCCAAGCAAACCCTGGCCTCCCTCACTAAAGCTTCAGTGATCCCAAACAATGAAATATCTGAGGGTTTAGAGGATTTTGATAATCCTAATGTGTTTGAGATGTCCAAAGAATAGTGTGAAGGTTTCATGGGCTTGGGTCCAGATGCTTTTAAGACTAAAGATAAAATGACCCGAGGGAGAGACACAACAATATTAACAGTGGAGAGCCTAAGACATGTTTACGGAATTAGAGATCTTTAAAATTTTTCTCTTTTGGGGAGACTTAAAGCTAATGGAATTAATATGCATGTTGCTATGGAAATTAAAATTATTGATTACATGCAACTTATCTATCTAGAGCAGAGGTGCAGTTTGGGAGGCCAAAAATACAAAAACAAAAACACTCTTTGGACCTTAATGCTGATCGTACAGCCCTTCAGACAGCAGGTAATGCAGGAAATTTATAGCCGACACATATGCGACCACGCACATGTCACATCCTCACCAAGACAGCAGCTCCCTCCACCTGACAACATCCCCAGCACAGATTAGTGAAACAAAAACATTCAAAAACCCTGAAATGCAGAGGGGAGAGATGAAGGCAGGTAGCCACACCTGATTCACCTAGAGAGGAGGCTCGTGTCCACCAGAGATGTATGACCAGCTCAGCATGGACGCTCTCTCATCTCCCTTTTCTTTTTCTTGGCAAGAGCACAATTTTATAGAGGATGTCAGGTAAGGAGGCTTAATTATTTTCAGTTGTGATAGAAAACCACATGGTATTAAGCTTGCAATTCTTAAAGTCAGGGTTGACCA